GAACCTTAAGCTAGGACCACTATTTCTAAGTTGCAAAGATGGAGCAGAGTATTTTATCATAATAGATTTGTGATTATGTTGACAAATGCTCTAACTGGCATTAACACTTAAAAGCTTTGATTGTAATTACCATTTACAATTGCATCAATAACACCTACACCTCACATTTCTGTATTTTAAAATCTACAAAGATTTTTACAAATTTCATTCATAAAAACTGTAAGGTTACTAATGTCCTTATACTTTCCCTTACTATCTACAAGGTAGTGACTCTTCCTATAGTGCTTTGCCTTTGATGAGTACTCAATAAATATTTTTTACTAACACAAATCTCTGAAACAGAGGAATCAACATGCTGCAAACAAAGTATTAAGGCCCAAATCCTTTGTTCAAGAATAATCCTTATTTTATCAAATTTAAGACACTGATGCTGGCATTTAAAAAAATTTATCAGGAGATTTCAATGCAAGGTTCCCTCACAACTAGAATCCACCTAGTCTTACAACTGCCAACAGACTGATGGCAACTGTAAGACTTCACTACACATCCCAATTTCAGAAAAATTAAAAAACAGATAAATATGCATCTTGGGGCCGGCCGAGTGGCGCGTTGGTTAAGAGCTGGCTTGGGATGCCAGAGGGCCCCGGTTCGGATCCCACATATGAGGGCCAGTGACGCTGCCCTCTATAGCTAAGATACTGAACAACAGCTCAACATGGAGCTGGGCTGCCGTGAGTCGCCGGCGGGCAGCGTGAGTGGCCATCCAGAAGCCGGCGACTGATCTGTCTCGCCCGGGAAGAGCACAATGATCTGCCTCGCCCGGGAAGAACACCTTGGGCCAGTGAAGCAATGTCCTCCATAACTAGACTGAAGAACAAAAGGATAGCAACTTGTCTGTTCACCTCCCCCAATTCCCCAATAAAAAATCTTTTAAAAAATATATATATATGCATCTTGGAATCAACTTAATATGGTAAACGCATATTCTATAAAATATTGAGGTGCTATATTTGCCTGGGCGGGGATGGGGGTGTGGAGGGAGGTGGTACTAAAGCTATATACATTTAGTGCCCCAAACCACTGGATGTTAACTATGTTTCCATTTACAATGTTGCCTTAGTTCACAGTACTCAAGACAACTTCAGCTTCCAGGAAAGATTACATGTAAAAGCCCTAAAAGGTATTCTCTGAGAAAAAAAAACTCAAAATAAAAAATTTTTTATTGACTTAAAAGACTCATCATACGATTTAAAAAAATAGCATTACTTTTATAATTTTTTAAAGTTGTTTAATTTTCTTTAGTTGCCTATTGATAAATCCCCTAAAACAGATTCTTAATTTGTCAATTAACCCTCTGAAAATGTATACAAACTAATTTATGTGTGTCTATTTTTTTCCAGAGAAAATTCATTAATTTCTCAAAAGGATCCATATATTAAAACAGACTAAGAATCATTTTCTTAAAAGAATTGTTTCAATTACATATTAAGAATTAGTCATAAAATAGAAAATGCTATAATCTGAAGCACACTGCCAGGCACAAAGGTTAAGTTTGGTTTTACAGGGTTTTCTTGAGGGGAAGGGGCAGAAAATAGGTTCATTATTTGTAGAACAAATGCAAATAATACAGACCCTTTATTTTAAAAAATTATTATTGAAGAGTTTAATATAAATCAAAGAGTTAAATCTGACAAAGAAGCTCCTGTTAAAGAAAACTCTGAGTATATAACAAATACTTTCTAAATTATCAGTTTGGAGTTTGTAAAAATGGAACACACCTATATTTTATTCCCTTTATCACTGAATGAAATCAAAACTACAATGAAATCAAATCAAAGCAAATCAATTAACTGCTATACTTTAAAGCTTTCTGTATCATTTAAACTTTCATGTTATGCACACCATGAAACAGACACTCTCACTTTCTCATCTCTAGACTCACTGATATCATGCTTTTAGATAATTAATGCAGGAATTCCAAAGAGGTTCTATACCAAAGCAGCCCCAATAAATTAAGATTACCAAGAGTTATTTGAAAAAATAGTTCTTTTTAAAGGAGTGGGAGTGAACTTGTTAAAAGTCATCATTAACTGCTGGCCTGATCAATTTATTCTTCCACTAACATAATAAAAAAATTCCAATTTGCTCCACAATAGCAAAATTGTAGAGCAATTTTGGTGTTCTTGGTGTTCTAAGCCATCTCCTATCCTACTTTTGTTTTGTAATGATTGACCCTTAGAGGAAAAATTCAAAGCAGCAAAGAAATTCACTTGGTAAGTCAATGAGATGAAAAACTGAACAAAAAGATAGCAAGGCCACAAAAGATTTTACAATAAGCAGAAAAACAGACACAAGAAACTACCTTTGCCCATCACATATCCATACTCTCCAAAGCTAAGAATCACATGGATTTGAGATTTAAAAAAAAAGAAAAAAGGCAGGATGAATAAAAAAATTTGTGAAATACAGGTCTCACAAGTCTCTACCACAACAGATGTCATATTTAAAACACAGTTTCATGGTGAAAAGATCAGTTAGAAGCCTATTAATATGTAAAAGTTAAATAAGTTTCATTATGAAAAATTTTTTAAACGACTGGCAGTCTAACTGCCTTCAAGAACTATCATGCAAATACAGAAAAGAGTTTACCTTGAAAATAATTTATACTAAATGTTGAAGGACTATGATTTGATAAAGGAGAACAGTGGTAGAGCAAGTCCTGTGCGAACTTCTAACTGCAGCTGTAGTGGAACACACTAAAAGCCTTGTTTTTAAGACAAAAGCAATGAAATAAAAAACAATGGTTTTAAACCTATCACCAGTGTTAACTGCTCATGACCATAAGTTTGCGTTTCTAAAGAAGGATTTTGAGATAAAAGGCCATACAATAAGGAAAAAAGTGGGAAAAAACGAAGTTGAACAAAATTCTCACAAGACTAAAACATAAAACTATAATTTTCATACATTTTTTCATGTCACAATTAAAGGTAAAACACTCAAAGACAAAAAAATCTAACATGACAAAATTGGAAATTAAACCATTCTATTTAAATAGGACTGAAATTAAAAAAGCTTTTAATTTAAATCGGTGTAGACTACAGGGACTCCTCTTTACATACTACATAGTCCAAACTGAGAGTATTCTCCACACTTCTTTCACATTTACTTAGGCAAAAATATTACAATCTGAAAAGTTTGCCCCCCCCCCAAACTCCATTGAAATGAGACTATCCTAACTAGTACCTATTTAACTAGACTATCAATTGCCCCAAACAACGATACTTCTTGGAAACTAAATTTTATTCCACTAAATTTAGCCAGTAAATTTTGCTAAATAATCCTTTACTAGAAGTTATATAAATTCCATGTTGTGCAACTAATTTTTCCTGTATCTATACATAAAAATTTATACTTGACAAAAGGCCATTCCTCAACTAATAACTTGTACGTTTACTTAGTGATTTTAAATATCTGCATCTTAAAAGCAGAGTGTATGGTGACCACAAAAAAATGAGACATACAATTAGTAGGGGTTCTGCTATTATACAATACTCTAAATAGTGCTTTTACTAAGTATTCAGTGACTATCACAGGCGTAAATATTAAACATTTCCCTATCAATTCTTCACATTTTCTACTAAGCTGACCCAATTTCAAGCCTAAAACAGAGGCTCCTACCTTTAGAAGGGTTGAAAACAAAAGTAATTGGGTAGTCCTAAAAATATACACCACCACTACATGACTTAAGATCCTCATTTAAAACTTTTGCCAAGATAGCCCCTCCCTTCAAAACAAACTACGGTTGACTCACTGCTCTATTTGACTTAACTTCAGAAATACAAAAATTAAATGGTTTCCTAACAACTCATTTCCCTCGATCTCTGCATCCACCATTTAAAACACTCAACCTTCAATCTGATTCATCCCGTCCAATATGGCAAAAAATAAAAATTAAAAAACCCCAAATTATCTACCATGGAATTAAAAAATAATTAAATACACCAGATTCAAGAATGATAACCACAGTTCTAAAGTCTTGGGAAACAATGAAAGCAATGTCTGTGGTCTGCGGAGCCATCCTACTCGGTGAAACCATTTCACCTCAGATGATACTTTTAATCTGCGAGACCACCCCATTTTCTAGAGTTAGCCACCTGAGCAAAGGGTTTCAATATCGTCTCACTAAAGTGGAAAACTATCAATCACCCTACATAACAAGTTCCACCCTCCAGATATTTCTACATGTAGAAACAAAACAACAACAACAAAGCCAGTAAAGTTGGTGGCAGGGTGAGGACAAAGAGCATTTTGAAACACCACAGAAGTAAACAGAGAATGAGGGCAGAAAAGGGGAATAAATTAAAGTTCCCTCAAATGGATAAAGGTGAGGAAACGCAGGTACCCTTGTTTACCACCCCTAGGCTCCCATTCTTCATTACCGCCCACTGGAATGCAAAGTTGGAACTACCACTCCGCCAGAAGCCCATCAAATCCTCAAAATGTCAGGTCACCAGGCAGTCTCTGGAATGACAGGCAAATTCCCCCTCCCCCCACACCCCCCAAAAAAAGAAAGGTCCAGTCCAATAAGTGCAGGTCACTCTGCCCTCTGGGGCAGTTCCAGCCGGCGCAGGGGTGGCTCTGATGGGAGGACGAGAGGGGGAAAGACAGACCACCTTTCTCAACCCATACACCCTCAGCTGAGGAAACAAAACAAAGACAGCCGCCCTCCTCCCCCGGCCGCCTCTACACTAGCCAGAGAGGCTTTCCTATTTCCCGGTGCAGTCTAGCCTCCCGCCCCCGCCCCCATGACAAAGAAAAGGGACTTGGTGAACAAGGCCTTCCTGCCTCCACGAGTGGGGGAAGGGGCTGCCGAGGCGAGCAGCCCCCTCTTCTCACCCGCGCTCACACTCGCTCACCCTTTGGCCCCGAAAACAGCCGAAAGCGGCTGGGAACAGAGGCCTCCGCCGGGGAAGTCTGGTCTAGGAGGGGGTGGGGGGTACCTTGAAGTAGCCGCCTTCGTAGAGGGTGTTGGGGGGTCCGAAGATGGCAACCTCCCAGTTGTAGAGGTCGGACTCATCCACCAGGGTGATCCGGAAGCCCTCCACCGGTTCCTCCTGCAGGGATTTCAGCTCCAGCATCAGGGCCTTCTGCGAGCTGGTCATCTGCTGCTGGGCCATCGCGGCTGCGGCGGCGGCAGCGCCGGGCCGGGGCCCCAGTCCTCACGCACCGGCCGAGACGGACCAAGCCCCTCCCCTCCGCTCGCCCTCGGGCCGGGCCGCACCGGGCCCCTGTCTTCACACACCCGGCGGGCCGGACCAGGCCCCAGACGGCCCGTGGGCCGACCCAGGTCCTCCTCACACGACGCGGGCTGGGCCCTCCTCCTCACACTCGGGCCAGGTGGGGGGAGGGGATCAAGGAGTTAAGAAAATTCGCTCCCGGTCCCGGACCTCCCCCCCCCGGAGGGGGCCTCAACTTGGGGGGGGGGGGAGAAAAGGTGGAAGCCGAGGAAGGCGGCGAAGGGCAGGCAATGGTGAGGGGAGAGGGGCAGGCCGGCCCGGGAGCGCCGCGCTCGCTCGCCCTCGCCTTCTCCTCAGGGGCCGCCGGAGCCGGAGAGCGCACCGGGCCGAAGGGCTGTGAAGCGCAGCGCTCTGGGGTCTCCCGGCGGCGGCTGCGCGGGGGGAGGGGCGACAGCGGAGAAGGAGGAGAAGGAGGAGGAGGAGGAGGAGGAGGAGAAGAGAGGGAGAGCGCCTCGCGCCGCGGGAGCGACGGAGCGAAGAAGGGAGGGAGAGAAGGAGGAGGGGCGCCCGCCGGGAGTGGGGCGGCTCTCGGCGGCTGGCAGCCCGACGCGCTTGCGCGCGCCCCTCCCTACCCCCGCTCTCCTCGCCTTCCTCCTCCTCCGCCTCCCACTTCCCCGCCTCCTCTCGGCGGCCCAGCGCGGTGGCGGCGCTTTGTGACGCCAGCCTTGTACCCCGCCCTTAAAGGGCCAAGCCGCTGTAGGGGCCGAGGATAGCCTCAAGGGATGCCCTTGGCCCCAAAGTGACGGTTGTGCGGCTGGACGCCCTGGTTCCCTAGGCGCGCCCGGGAAGGGACCTCTGGTCTTAGAGCCATCAGCGCCCTCCTCCCCCATCCACAGGCTTCCTCAGCCATCGTCCCAGGAGCCCTGGTCCTCTGCAGGCCCCTCTCTGTGACACACAGTCTGCTGTCCCTACACTGCAGATGCTTGACAAGGATGTGCTGAGAATATAGGCCTTATCGGTGGGAACAAGCGTCCCGACATTTCTGCAGGTCCAGCCCTCACGCCAGTGTGTCCTTCCAGGGCAGTGTGACACCCATTTGGGGGGTGGGTGAGGCCAGTTTCCACTGAGAAATGGAGAAGGCAGATAAGCCAGCTTCTACTTCCCTTCTTAACTACAAAGAGGAAGCTTGTGGGAAATAGAGAAATAATAATAGTGACTGAACCTAGGTTCCTGGCCCTTCTCTCTGTGATTTGAGGCAAGTGCTCTGGCTATCCCTCAGTTTATCCATTTGTAAAATGAAGTACTGTAGGTGAACTTTGACCCCCTACAGATCCTTTCAGCTTGAAGGTCCAACCTGGAATTGAGGGACTTTTAAGATAATCATGACTGAAGTTAGATGTTGAGACACTCTTCAATCCCCATGATTTAGATCAGCGGTTCTCAACCTGTGGGTCGCGACCTCTTTGGGGGTCGAACGACCCTTTCACAGGTGTTGCCTAAGACCATCGGAAAACAAAAAGATATTTACATTACGATTCATAACAGTAGCAAAATTACAGTTATAGAGTAGCAACAAAAATAATTTTATGGTTGGGGGTCACCACAACATGAGGAACTGTATTAAAGGGTAACAGCATTAGGAAGGTTGAGAACCACTGACCTAGATAGCCTACCCCTCTCTCTTAGGAAGGCGTGTCTTATCACTATCTAAACATTTACTAGAAAAGCCAAGCCAAGTGAAAATTCCAGAACTGGGAAATCAGAAAGATCCTTGGTTCCAACCCTGGCTCCACCATTTATATTACCTCTTCCTTTTTCATCAGCTTCTGTAAAAGAGGGCTAATTATATGTAATATAAGCAATTGTAAAGACTGAGATCATCTGTATACAAGGTTTAGCACAATGACTAAATGATCCATAAGTAGGTAAATGATCCTTAAGTAGGAACTTTAAAGGAAGAAAAATAATTTAAAGGCATAACTGTATTCTGGATATGATCCCTCCCATTACTGAATAGGCGTTTTCACAACAGGTTTAGATTTCTAGAAAAAATGAGAAGATAGTACAGAGAGTTCCCATATTTTCCAATAGGCACCCAATTTCCCCTATTATTAACATCTTACATTGGTATAATACATGTATTACAATTAATGAATCAAAATTAAAGTCTTTACTCACATTTCCTTAGTTTTTACCTAATGTCATTTTTCTGTTCCAGGATCTCATCCTGAACACCACACTATATTTAGTTTTCATATTTTGCTAGGTTCCTCTTAACTTTGACAGTTTCTCAGACTTTCCTTGTTTCTGATTACTTGACAGTTTTGAAGAGCACTAGTCAAGTATGTTGTAGAATGTCCCTCAATTAGGATATGTTTTGTTTTTCTCATGATTAAACCAGGATTATAGGGTTTTGGGGAGAAGATCACAGAGGTAAAAAACAAGCAAACAAAATTTTCATCACATCATAATATCAACATGACACCAGTGTTGATATTGACCTCAATCACCTGACTGAGGTAGTGTATCAGGTTTCTCCACTGTAAAGTTACTCTTTTTACCTTATTTTGATACTATACTCTTTATAAGGAACTCTCTAATGCACAAGACACACTGAAGGAGTCCCTTCATTTTTTTGTTATTTTTTTCTCAGAGGCAAGGTCTCAATATTTTAATAAATCATTCCCTACTGCCCAACTCTGCTCAGTAGCCCTTGAGGCCAAACTCCACTGGAGTTAGAGCTCACTTCAGAAAAGGGGAACTGTTTTAATCAATGCAGACTCTCTTCCCAAAATGATGGTATGTGACTGATTCTGACTTCCTCTCCTCCACCACTCAATTTAGGGACAAGAAGATTGCTGACCTGGAAACATGGGAGATGATGTTGACACCTTTAATAACAAGACTGTGAGTAGACAAATAGGCAGAAAGTTCATCTTCAAAGCATTTCACCCACATAAACTCATCACAGCCCCACCCTGACCCAGAACTTGGTAGATCCTTAGCCTAACCCACTGGAAAATACCCCTGGCACCCGGACCAGAAGCTGTGCCCTGGGCTCAAATCAACTCACAAACTCATATCAAATATCCACAGTGGCCATGGCCCTAAGCTGGGTGACTAATAAACATACACTTGTCTGGGAGGCTCATAGCCTAGTGTGTTAATAATGCATTGTGTACGTAAGGTCCTACATTCTTAGGTCAGAGGAACTAGAATTCCACAGAACTTGTCTCATGCCTTTTTATCCTAGCAGGTAAGACATTGTTTATTTAGTAGGTTGCAACTGTGTCTTATTCATCCTTGGATCCTCAGGAACTTAGTGTCTGACATAAAGTAGACACTAAGTAATTGTTCTCATGGGCTTGCAACTAAGGGCAGGAAGACAATCATTAACAAAACAAAACAAAACAAAACAAAAATCACAAATTGAACCCCACCTTCCACCTCCATGTCTAATAGGATCTCTCAGACACATAGTAGGTGCTCAAGATTATAAATTCCATAAGGACGGCAGGTCTTGTTCATAATCTCATACAAGCTACTACAATGTTTAGCAAACAGTGGGTACTCAAAACATATTTGTCAAAAGAATGAATGGCAGAAACAGCTTCCTAGAACTTTTTCATATTGTTTCATAATGACAAGTAGAGATTAACTTTGCTGATTGGTGCCCTCTGGTGGTAAAGAAAACAGGATATTTACTCTCAGGCTCTTCTGAAGAATCGATTACCTTTCTTGGAAAGAGAAAAAATATGGAAATCTTGGTAAGATAATGAGAGGGAGGAGTATTTGCTTTTGAAAGATTAATTCTGACCTTATAAAATGAATCTGTTTAGTGGGCCAACATTTTTTTCATTCTGCATATGTTAACACATGTAAGTCTTGAATAGTGTGCTTAAGGAGCCACAATCTTCCTTTAATAACAACAGCTAACATTTGCTGTATATCAATATACGACAGGCTCTTTATATGCAGTATCCCATTTAATCCTCACAAAAATGTATAACATGGCTATTTACTGAATATAACAAAGCTTAGAAAGGTTAAGGAAGTCACCCAATGTCACCCAGTGAGTAAATGGCAGAACCTGGAGTTGAACCTTGGCCATCCCACCTTAGTGTGACCGCTCTTAACCACCAAGCTGTAATGTTCCTAGTCTAACATGCCCACAGCAATCTGTGCATATCATAACACACCAATGCTGTACTGTAATTATTTGTTTACATCTTTCTCCAAGCCTCCAAGGTGCTCTTAAGAAAGAGACATTCATCCACTCAACAAATATTTACTGAATGCCTGCTATATGACAGGCCCTGTGCCAAATGCCAAGGATACAATAGTGAATGAGACAGAAATGACTGGGTCCTTACCTCATAGAGCTTATGTTCTAGAGGCTGAAATAAAAATAGACAAAAGCAAGTAATCAGTAGACAAATAATATTGCAAGTTTTGGTGAATACTAATAAAGGTGATTAAAGGAGGGCCTAAAACTGAAAATGCTGGGGTGGATGCAATTTTAGATGGAAGCAGGGCAGGGGCAGAAGAAATCTCTATGAGGTTACATTTAAATTAGTAGCGGGACCAGCCTGTGAAATGTAAGGTCAAGAGCATTGTTCTAGGTCTCTGGCTTGTGACCATGTCTTATTTATCTCTTTATCCTTGACATGGAGCACAAGGCTTGACATTAAGTGTCATCCACTGTGGAATGAATGGTTGACTAATCTCTCAGCTCTTTGTTCTTCTTCCTCTTGCTTCAATGGTGCTGCTTCCTCCTCTCAGTCAATTCAAACTCAAATCATGTTTCAGGACTTAGCACAAGCCCCATCTCCTCCAGGAAATCTTCCTTAACAATCAAAACACTCCAGCCAGGAAGAGGGAGATCCTGCCATTTGTGACAACATGAATGAGCATTAAGAGCATTATACTAAGTGAAATAAATCAGATAAAGACAAATACAAATACTGTATCATCTCCCTTATATGTGGAATCTCAAAAAGCCAAATTCATAGAAACTGAAAGTAGACTGGTGGTTGCCAGGGGCTAGGGAGTGGGGGAGAAATGAGATGATGTTGGTTAAAAGGTACAAACCTCCAGTTATAAAAGGAATAACTTCTGAGGATCTAATGTACAGCATGGTGACTATAGTTAAAAATACTGCATTGTATACTTGAAAGTTGCTAAGAAAGTAGATCTTAAAGTCACCACCACCACCACCACCACCACCACCACAACAACAAATGGTTATGTAAGGTGAAGGATATGTTAAATGTATTAACTTACTTTATTGTGGTAATCATGTTGCAATATATATGTGTAACAAATCACCACATTGTACACCTTACACTTAAAACA